AGGTTTTCTGTTCATGTTGACATTTTTGTTATATTTTACCATTACAACTTTTCACCATATTTTTTTGTATTACTCCTTAGAAAGCTTATATACATACACATACACGCATACACGCATACATACATACATGCATACATACATACATACATACATACATACATACATACATACATACACTTATATACTTTTATTACAAAAATTTAATTCCTTTTGCATTCTGGATGGAGCTGCTAGATACCTGACTGTGCGAGACCAGGGACATAGATAAAAGTTGAACTCGGAAACGGTTGCATGCCTAACCATGGCTTGTTCATCAAAACGTGTTCATACATACATACATACATACATACATACAGACAAACACACACACACATACAGACATGCATTTAAGGATTTATTGTAAGAATGAGTTGAATACCAAATTTTTAACTCTAAAATTATTGAAAGAATCTCGAAAACTTCTGGGGTCAATTAATCTTGTTAAAAAAATTTTTCTTTTTGTTTTTGTTAACCATCTAATTCCATCAGTCCTTATTACTTAAGATAAAAAAATAGAATATCCATATGAATAAATTGTAATTAATATTACAATAAAAATACAAATTCATAATTAAATATTATTACATCATAAATAAAAATACAATAGTCGTATAGATAAGTTGTAATTAGTATTACAATAAAAAAAACTATAATTATAACTAATAGTTAAAATAAAAACTATAGTCGTAAATTATTTTTTATTTTGATTATTTTTTTGACTATTTTTATTTTTTGATTTTTTATTATTTGAAAATTTTTAAAATTATTTTGATTTTAATGGTATCGTTACGAAAGAGAGTGTAGTGTTGACCGGTAGGTAGCTGGGATTTTGATAGCACACCCTGTGGTGGCTCAAATTTGGATGGCCCGACACCCGCTAGGACGTAAGGTTTAGGGGGTTGTGTCTTTTTCATCTGGTCATTGAATTCTTAAATTTCTAAATTACATTCCAATGATTTGTTTTTCCTCCAGAGTGAATTTTTTTTTATTTCCTTCTGATTCCTCTCCCTCTCTTTCTCTCTCTCTCTCTCTCTCTCTCTCTCTCTCTCTCTCTCTCTCTCTCTCTCTTTCCTCCATAAATTTTTTCAGTTTGTAGCTTCAACTTTTGGTCCGGACTGATCTGCCGGTGGTGCTGTTGGTTCTTGTGGAAGAGAGGGAAAGGAAATATAATAATAATTATTATCATAATTATATTAACAATAATAATTATCCTAATTATAAAACTAATTATAGCATTAATAGCAAATCTAAAAAAATAAAATGGTTAAAATAATAGAAAAAAATTAAGAAAATTTATGAAAATTTTTTGGACTAGCATTCGACATTTTTCAGAAACAGCATTCGGACTTGTTGATCGTGAATGAATGGGTAAATAAAAAAAATACATTTACGATTTTTTTTAAGTTTCCTTTTCATCCTGATGACGTGAATGCTAAATATGACAATGATCAGTTGAATGATGGCCACTACAATGGCTACTGACAGTATGGCTATCTCACGGTACTGGCCTTGGGAATTCCCTGTTTGAATTTTTTTTTCAAATAATAATTATCGTGTGTATGCGTGTGTTTGTTGTGTGTGTGTGTGACTGTGTGTTTTGTGTGTATGTGTGTGTTTGTGTGTTGTGTTTGTGTGTGTGTTTGTGTAAAATATGATATGATGATATGATTAGGCAATTTATTTGTAGCGTGTAACTATCTCTGTACATCAAGCTGAGTGACGTGAAAATAAAATGCGACTGTGTTGTTAATATAAGTAATGAGTGAACACACACAGTCACACACACACACACACACACACAAATACACACATACAGACACATACAAACACAGACACACACACACAGTTACACACACAGAAACACACACAAACATAGACGCACACAGACACACACACACACACAAACATAGACGCACACACACACACACACACAAATACACACATACAGAGACACAGACACACACAAACACCTAATATAGAGAGCCTACAATATGCCGTTTTGGGTTGGTCGGGTGAATCGTACCTTCGCGACCAGATCCAGGTGGCATTGTAGACGGTCACATCTGCCGGACAGTCTGGAAAGAGAGCTTCCGAAACATTTGCCCCACACTGAGACACTGGTCCTGATGGATGGACAGATGGGTCAATGAATAAATGAATAAATGAACGAACGAACAAACGAACAAACAAACGAACAAACGAACGAATGAATGAATGAATGAACGAACGAACGAATGAATGAATGAATGTATTAACAAACGAATGAACGAATGAAAGAACGAACGAATGAATGAATGAATGTATTAACAAACGAATGAATGAATGAATGTATTAACAAACGAATGAACGAAGAATGAATAAAGTGATAAAAAGTTCACCAATGGCAAAAGCCTCCGGCCAACTCTTATCATTGAAACCTGGGATAGCCCATTGAAGACTGCTAACTTTGTCATGACACTTCCACCTGTATTTGTATGTGTATGTGTGTCTATATGTGTGTTTTTGCATGTGTGTATGTGTGTGTGTGTGTGTGTGTGTTTGTTTGTGTATCTGTTGTTGTACCTTTTGTTATTCGTGTCGTAGACATGTTTGCTAGATGAGATGGCCACGCCCCCGTGCGTGCCTTTCCTCGCGTGGATGATTACGCCAAGAGTCTAATGGTGATGATAAGGAAGAATAAGATGATGAAGATGAACACACACACACACACACACACACACACACATGCACTTATATACACACACCCACACACTCACACATACAAACGTACATACCAACACACAAATAAACACACGTATACACATCTACACACACAAACACACACACAAGGCTGATGGTGATGAAGAGTGTGACGATAAAGATGATGACGATGAAAATGATGGTGATGACAATAAAGATGATGATGACGATAAAGATGATGATGACGATGAAGAGGATGCTGATGACGATCGAAGCAATTTTTTAAATTAGAACGTAAAACGAAGAAAGAATGCTAATTCAATCGCGACTCAACTGGTCTATATACAAGGCTGATCATTCGTTTATCATTCACTCATTCATTCATTCATTCACTCAATCATTCATCTTCTAATTCATTCACCCACTTACTTAATCCTTCATTCATCCACTCATTCCCTCAATCATTCATCTATTCATTCAGTCACTCACTCACTCAGTCATTCATTTATCTATTCATTCACTCATTCACTCACTCAACCATTCATCAATTCATTCATTCATCCAGTCACTCGCTCACCGACAGGATTGGGAGGAAGAGGGTATAGCCCTCGTACCACGCGCTCTCATTCAAGTCGGGAAGCTTTTCCTTCCGGCCGTCGTAGAATACCTCACAGCGCGCGCTACATAGTATCTTCGTTTCTAGTGATGACGTTACGGATGACGTCATTTTATCTATTATTCTATTTCATCAAAGCTATTGATACTATTGTTGTTGTTGCTATTATTATTAGTAGTAGTAGTAGTAGTAGTAGTAGTAGTAGTAGTAGTAGTATTAGTAGTAGTAATTGTAGTAATAGTAGTAGTAATTGTAGTAGTAGTAGTAGTAGTAGTAGTAGTAGTAATAGTAGTAGTAATTGTAGTAATAGTAGTAGTAATTGTAGTAGTAGTAGTAGTAGTAGTAGTAGTAGTAGTAGTAGTAGTAATAGTAGTAGTAATTGTAGTAATAGTAGTAGTAATTGTAGTAGTAGTAGTAGTAGTAGTAGTAGTAGTAGTAGTAGTAGTAGTAGTAGTAATAGTAGTAGTAATAGTGTTAGTAACAATTATCATCGTTATTATTATCATTATTTATTATTATTAATAATATTATTATTATTATTAACCCAAGTAAGCTGAGGTTCTAGCGCTTGAAGTATTTTCCTCAGTCGTTTCTAGAAAATCATCATCATGGTTCCCTTTTTATTATTATTTTCCATTATTATTATTACTATTATCATCATCATCATCATCATATCATCATATCATCATCATCATCTTGTTATTTTCCATTATTATTATTATCATCATCATCATCATCGCTGTGTTTACAAATTAGCTATACCTCTAGAAATTTCTGACACAGACAATTCTAAAAGGAGAATCCAACTATCGTGAAATATTTTTGTTATTTAAAAGATAAAGTAAAAAATCAATCACAGACATTTTAAAAAAATGTAGGCTAGATATATTTGTCTACGATAATCTTTTTTTTCACCGAGTTGTGATGCTCTCTCCGGGTTCGAACGCAGACATGCGCCGAACTGAATTAGCACAGCACGCAAATATTTATTCACTGGCAAATGAATATAGCGAGTTTGTTTTATAGACAAAAACAAATTTAGAGTTCGTGTCCGAATTAAATAATTTGTTCATTTATTTATAATTAATTAATTAATTAGACAACAAGATATAGATGTATATGACAAATGCCTGGTAAATCTTTTAAAATGAATTTAATTAAGAGGGCGTCTTATGTAATTGTATAATTGGTAATTAATTAGTCCCAATTAAAACCCACATGGTATTCATGCAGTCAGCTAGATATTAATTAGTTAATTAACTTCAATTTATTCATTAAAATTAGTAAAACGTTTATTTATATGAAAATTATTCATTGAGATTATTATTATTAATGTTGTTATTTTTATTTTTGTTATTATTATTATTGTTCTTAGTAACTACTTACATGGGCGCGTTTAAATTGTTGAAACTGATCTGAAGAGAGAATCGTAATGATAATAATAACAATAATATAAGAATAATAACTCTAATAACAACACTAATAATAATAAAACTTCAAACTGAGACCGATGCTATAGAGCAAATGCAAGATGAAATAAAAAAATTAACTTTTTTATTGGCGAGTTAAATGTTTAATCTGCAATAACCATCATAATTTCCATCAACGCTTAACCTGACAGTTGATCGCGGCCGGGAGTAACATGAAACATTTTGAATCATTAGATAATATAGGTTAGACGACAGATGGTCTAGTCTAGACACCTTCCGAACGTGAACAACATCAGAAGGATCAGTCTCTTCATCCGAAGAAGACATCAGCGGAAACAAATGGAAAATCTCTCGATTCAATTCAACCAAAATAACCCAACTTAATCGTTGGCATTATAATTAACAGTTAACAACTCACATTCGATGCCGGTTTTGATCGTAAATCGTATAAACAACGATATTGTACGAAGTCATTTTACCGAATCTAGTCATGTTCGATGAGCATGTATTTTTATTTCAATTTAACAAATAAATAATAGTTTGGCGTTATCCAACGCTGTCAAGAATTATGTACAAGTTGTTATGAAAAAAAAAAAATAAATAAAATAAAAAATTGAAAAAGAGAACAAAATGTCGGTAATCAAGTGAGGCAGGACATTCTCTTCTTCTTTTTCTTTTTATTCACCTCTGGACTGAATTCGTTCTCCTGGAGCCCTGCGAACGACTCATTTCTTCGTTTGAGAGGTTTTGGAACTTTGAATGAGTCATGGTGTGATTCGGGTGATTCGTCAACAAGTATAACGCTGTTTGTAGGAGACCTAGCATCTGTTCTAGAGATATTAACCTCACAGCCACCATCAACTTGAACATCACCACCATCATCATCGACCTTATTTTTCTTCTTCTTCTTCTTTTTTGGAACAGCTCCAGACGATCCATTCAACACACTCTCAGTGTCAATTTCAAGGGTAATTGTATCCTCGAGTTGGTCACTCTGTAAATTATAAATGTAACTATATTATATGCTGTACATTTGCGTATATATACAAATAAGAACATACAACAACAACAACACACGTTTAGACGACATTTTATCATATATACAAATAAGAATAAGATATTTATTATATTGAATTTAAACAAGCATGTTCATATACAAATAAGAACATGCTTGTTTAAATTCAATATAGTAAATATCATAAGCACTGGTATTCATCATTGTCATACAATAGACATCATTGTCAGACAATAGACATCGTTTTTAGACAATAGACAGCATTCTATATGGGCTACTCAATGTCTCAACGGTGTGATGGTCTAGTCTAGACAACAGATCCTGTTGTTGCACTGGCTGAGTTTTAATATGTGGCATAAAAAACTCACGAGGCATAAAAAACTGTTATGTTTTACCTCATTATATGTAGATCAGGTAAAAATTCAGAATACACTCATCTCTAGTCTAACCTTATTCGGGCTTTTATGCTTCGATTTCTTTTTCTTCTTCTTTTCACATCCACCAGCACCACCAACATCGTCAGCAGTAGTTGTGACAGCAAAACTTTCAGGTACATTTGGTTAGTATTTTCTTAATGATTTATGAATAATAATGAAAAATGATAGAGAATAAATAAATAAATAAATAAATAACATAAAAGACAATCGAAATAATAGTTATAATAAGTAATTAACCCAGGGAGAAGATTGCCCCTGATTTGAAGTGTGGAGCGATGTGAGGTGATCCCCGTGATCCTCACCCTCCTAACTTGTCCAACTTCAATTTCCTCCTCGTTCCAGTTATTATTAACAGCTGAGATGTTGAAGAAGTCATGAGCCAACAACCCAACATGACGTCCACCTGGTGACAATTTATTGACCACCCCTTCCAGGATATCGCCAAGTCGAGGTCTGAAGACTGTCAGTTCTAACTGGATGTCCAGATAGATTTGGTAGTCGTCATCCATCATTGGAGCTCTCCTACAAAAACATTTGACATTTTTGTACGATAAAGGAACACCTCTGAATCTGTGAAAAAAAAATATAATAGCTGTTACAAAAATTTAAAAAAAACATTTTTTGAAAATCAGTTGCTTTGAAAATTTGAGGACAAAATAGTGGTAAGACAAAACTTAATTTTAATTTTTTAATGTTCAATTTTATTTAATTAATTTAATGTTAATCAAATGGAATGGACCACTTCAAAATTTCAAATTCATTTCACGTTTGAAAACAAAAAATCATGCATCAAACAATTATGTTCACGATACAACCGGCTAGGTAGATAACTTTTAATTTAACGTTTTAATAATCAATAACATTTTAAATTAAATTAATTAACTAATAATTTAATATTAATTAGCAAACTGACTTGTTACTGAAGGACATGAGTTGCCTACCATACACGTGTTCAACGGCCGCCCGGACATCGATCCCTGCCTTCTCCTTCCTCATGTGCTCCGGCGACACGGAGATACGTTCCTTGATGTTCAACACGTGGCATGAATTTCCGAAGTTCATCTTGCCGCAAGCGGAAGCACAAACGCAAACACCAAACAAACAACTATAATGACGATTAGTTTAAAAGTAATATTTGAGAAATGTGCTGATCGTTGATAAAAGGCATCTGAAAGCTGAATGGCTGACAAATTAGAAATTAAAAACTATATATCCTTTTCGTTAATTGATTGTTATGTTTACGTGTGCTTAATAATTTGTTTTAATGATATTATATTTATATAACATACTTTTATTATATATATTTATAAATATATATATATATATATATATATACTTAATATATATAAATAAATACTTAATATATAAATAATAAATATATATATATATATATATATATGAAAGTAATAATATATTAATATATAAATGTGAGCAAACAAAGTCCGGTATTTCCCACTTTTGTTTATTTTTTTTATTTCAAGTTGGACTATTAGAGTAGTTGGACTAATCAGTGATGACTGACGGGTTACTAGATAGCTGAGCAACAAATAAAAGGTCACTTTTATCGATCACCTCACTAACTCACTAAGTCATCATTTAGTGTAGTCTATTAATAAGTCATCAAATATATTAATACTCATTAATTAAAACTTTTTCACACACAGGCCTAGCCTTTATTTTTATCCATCACCTCACTAAGTCATCCTCTAGTCTATCAGTTTGCCGTTACTTCATTTTATATTCCATCGTCAATTACTTTTCTTTTATTTCTCCTTTTATTATTATTTATTTTATTCTAACATATTTTATTTTTCAGGTTTTATCATTTCTTTTCCTCACATTTTGTATTTATTTCTCACTTATTTGTTTAATTTTGTTTTACTGCCTTGCATGTTGTTACAGTTTCTGCGTCTGTCAGATCCTGATTTTTAAACAATAAAAAAAAAAATAAACTCTGGTAACCATTTTAAAATAATCCAGTATTTATATATATATATATATATATATAATAATTTTATATTAATTTAATTTAATATAATTATAATATATCATATAATTATTTTTATGTTTTTTCCAACTCCTATTGTTATTTTAAAATTCAGATTGGTCTCCTAGTCTAGAGTTAGTTTGTGAAGATGGCCGATGATTTATTTGATGTCACAAGGGTTGCTCAACATTTTGAGAAGAGTTTGTTGGATGATGGGGATGATGGCCTTGTTAAGTTAACTGATTATGCTTCAGCTTACAGGGAAATTAACAAGTAAATAGGTGAATGATTGATGGGTTGATTGAATATTGAATGAATGGTTGAATGACCGACTGAATGAATGAACACCTGATTGAATGAATAAATGAGTAATTATCACATCACATTACTATATTGAATGTCTGCATGAATAAAATGGGTCGAAGGAATGATGAATGTCTGCATGAATAAAATGGATCGAAGGAATGATGAATGTCTGCATGAATAAAATGGGTCGAAGGAATGATGAATGTCTGCGTGAATAAAATGGATCGAAGGAATGATGAATGTCTGCATGAATGAATAAGTAAATGAACATCATATCATATCACAGATTACATTACAACATTATCACATCATGAGAATAATTACAGATTGTTCAATCAGCTCGGTTCCATATTTGTATTCGTGAGAGACGACATCGATAACAAATGCGCCATACTGGATAGGCACCTGTCTGGTCCTTGCGGCCTCCACTACCAAACTGTCAATCAAATGTTAGACTTCGAACTGGAATCAGGGATAATAAAACCAGAAAATAATAATAATAAAATTAATTTGGGTAATAATTACATCAATATTAATATAAATAGTATTAATGATATAGATAATAATAATAGTAACAACAATAATAATAGTAATAACAATAACAACAATACGAACAAAAATGACAACAACAACCACGATGACGACAACAACAACAATGGTAAATCTAATAGCCCAAACCAGCCATCCACACAACAACAACATCATCATCAGCAGCAGCAGCATTCCAAAGATCATCATCATCATCATCGAGATGATAGGGCTATAGTTAATGTAATCTCAAATGACATTAATGACGATGACGATGACGGTGACGTCATTAGGGGCGTTGATGCTAGCAGCTGTAAGAATGACGTCAACATTAGCAATGGCATCAAGATCAACAACTGTAATGTCAGTGACAGCAAGAATGATGTCAACATTAAAGATGGTAGTAAGCTAAAGAGGAAAAACAAGAAGAAGAAAAAGAATGCTGACTTGGAGAGGGAAAAAAATCTTGAGCATAAAAAGTTTGTTCGCTCATTCATTCATTTGTTCATTCAGTCGTTTATTTATTTATTTGTTCATTCATTCATTCAATTAATCAGTCATTCATTCGAATGTTAATTAGTTCAATAGTTAATTCATTTACTCGTTCATTCATTCATTGTTTTTATATAAAAATAATACTTAGAAAAAAGTTCTAAAATTGAAATATTTTTTGTTAAAAATAAAGTTATAAAATCGAAAAATTTCAAAAATTATGTGTGTGGTTGTGGACAGGATTAATAGTAATTTTGATGATAATAAATATAAAAATAATAATTGTTGTAATAATAAATTTATTCATCATCATATTCATCATCATTATCATCATCACCATGAATGTAGATGCAACGACGTATCATATAGTGACTTGCCATCTGGAAGTAGATCGTTGTTGAGATTGCATAGGTTGGTTAGTTGGTTGCATAGGTTGGTTAGATGATTGGTTGGTTGACTGGTTGGTTTGTGGATGGGTGATTGGTTGGTTGGTTGGTTGGTCGGTTAGCTGGTTTTAATCTATTATTATGCTAATAATTACTTGACTAAAATAATGTTTTTCATGTGATGGCAAAACCTATTTATTCACATCAAATTTTTTTTAATGTCCAAAATGGTTAAAGAGCCATGGAATTCATAATTCAACTCTTCCCGACCCTGGTTGGACTGCCAGCGACTGCAGGCATCAGAGGTGCTATAAAGGATCTCTACGATCGGACTCTTGGTTTTTTTTGTTCTTTTTATTATTATTCAACCAACTACATAATTATTTAACCAATTAACCAACCACTCAACTATCTAACCATCCAATCAATCATCCAATCTACCAACTAACCACAAATTAACCATTCAATAAACTAACCAACCGTCGAAGGCACCTACCATCCATGGATCGCCAGAAAAGCAGTTCACCTAGCCCTGTTAGCCGCCTGCCCGACTAGGCATCGTCTGCTCGCCCTGGTTGACCCTTCGGGTGACCTTGAGGTCGTGGAGGTCAAGGTCGCCAGGTTAACAAAGGTGGCTGATAAGATCCGGGAGATCGTGCAGAGAGAATATGATAGTAGAGGATTGTTGAGCCTGGCCTGATAATTATTATTTACATAATTATGCGATATATTTATGAATTATATACCTATGTTTTATTTATTTATTTCTATTGCAGTAATGGTTCGGTTTTACAGTAATGTCTGTACGAATGGGAAAATTGAATTATTGAATGGATGGATGGATGAATGAATGAATGAAAAAATGAATGGATGATGAATGAAAGAATGGATGGATAGATGGATAAATGGATGAGTAAATGAATATACAAATGAACGAAAGAATGAATAAACTAGCTGAAAAAAGTTGATGGTTTTATCAGTTCTGATTACTGAATTGCTTTTTAATGGACTTTATGCGTTGCCTTATTTAGCCGCATTATCTTTTATCATTTATTTAGAAAGTTAATTAATTTTTCCATTAGTTCATTCATTCTTTTATCCACCAATTCATTCATAAATTCATTGATCTAACTGATTAGCTTCTCGTTATATTATCTTATATGTCTTTCAAGCAATCTCTTTCATTTACATGACATTCCGTATACATACATACATATATATTATATATATATATATATATATATATATATATATATATATATATATATATATATATATATATATATGTTGGTAATAGACCATAATTTTTACAATATTCTATAAATTCTACCGAATGTTTGGCGTTAATATTTTTGTAGTTCGTTTTTTCGATTTTTCTCACTAAAACTTCCAAATATGATCTTTTTCACATGTGTACACATGCCCGCTAATTTATGTGATTTTCCACCTCAGGCAAGATTACAACATAGGAAAGATATATCCCGTCTCTACAATCATTCGAAATCGGCAACCAGACAATGCGACAAACTAGCACGCACACACACATATACACACATACATACACACACACGCATACATACACACGCACACACACATGTTGTAAGGAAGGTAACTGCACCGTTAATGCGAAATTTCGAGATTGGTCTGCTTGGTTTTGGATGTTATAAATTCACTGGCTTGCATTTTGTGAAGTTCTGGATGAATTTTTTAAGAGACAGGTATTGTATAATTATTTATTAATAAACAAATTATTTAGCATGCATGATTGAATGGATAAAGGATCGAATAAATGAATGAATGAATTAAATTAATCCATAGGGATAACTAACCAACCGGCCAACTAAACAATCAATCAACCAACCAACCAATCAATCATTCGTTTATCATTAAATGTTAATCTTAATTCAAAGTTTAGCACGACTGGATGAATGGATAAACAAGATAAGGATGGATAAATCATCAAATCAATCAAACAGCAAACCAATCAATCAATCAACAAACAAACAAGCCAACCAATAAACCAGCCTATCAATCAATCAATCGATTAACCAATCAATTTCTATACTTCGTCAGCCTCAACCACTGATTAAACTTATCAAGTACAGCGGTCCTATCATATACATATCGCCCACTGACATCATCGCCAACATCATCATTATCATTATTATTATGCTTGCTGTTATCACTTGACGGTGATGACGACGACGATGATGTTTGGGGTGGTGATGATGATGATGGTGGTGGTGATGGTGGTGGTGGTGATGATGATGATGGCGGTGGTGGTGGTGGTGATGATGGTGGTGGTGATGGTGGTGATGATGATGATGGTTGTAATGATGATGTTTGAGGTGGTAATGTTGATGGTGCTGGTGTCAAGTCTTGCGATGACGTCACAGATTTGAGAGTAGACGTTAACAGCGATGATGATCGTTGTCGCGGATATGATGATGACGTCGATGACGATGATGGTGATGATGATGACGATGATGGTTTGAAAGTTCGGCTTATTTTTCTCATCCTAACCATAACACCTCTATCATTCCAGACACCTGCAAGAATACCAAAACAATTAAATATAATAATAA